ATATAATAATAATAATAATAATAATAATAATAGTTTGATTGTATGTAGGGCTGCACAATTTGGCCAAAATAACATTGGGATTATGTATCAGTATGGCTATAATATACTACTAGTATTTTAGTAGTACTCTTACTAATATTATTAATAAATGATATTAATACAATATTAATAAAATAGGAATAAATAACAATAATAATAATAATACTTTTATTATTATTATTATTATTGTTGTTGTTATTGTTATTATTATTATTATTATTATTATTATTATATTTATGCCTTAATTTCTTCATTTCCAAGCATTAAGCCATCAAGCTTTTATTTTGGCGGAAAACGGCATGAAGCCCTTAAGCGTCTCCATTTTTGGCAACAGCTTTATTAATGCTTCTCATTACAAATCTGCAATATTGATTTTATTTCAATGAATCTTTCAGCTCTAGTTCACAGTGACTAAACTAACACCATAACAGTATTTCAAATGACTCGTTCACAATATTGCAAATCTTCTAAAGTCATGTGACGCTTTGTGAGAGAAACTTTGTTAGTCATAATTCACTGAAAATCTTCCCCTTCGCTACAGCTTTCAAATGCAGCATGGCTTGGGTGTGTTGAGTGAAGTTTGCTTTGAATCCAGCAGCACAGACTATTGATTGTCCTGGCAGGATGGTGTTTTCTCTGTATCCCATCATCCCTGAGAGTGACATGTGCCGCAGTGCAACCCAAGACGGCGATTAGCTCTGTTTGCAATGTGTTTCTCCATCAATCGCTGATAGACAGCTCCATGTAATTGTTAATTGCTGATAATTGCGTGGGAGGGTTTTGCCTCGCGTTCCCATGAGGTGTTGCTTTTATATAAGAGCAGAAGACATCAGGTCTTTGTAATCGAGCTCCGTCTGGTCCCATCATCATGCTAATATGAAATCTAATCCCTCATTAGTTTTTCCACTCAACTTATTGATTGACAGCCACATTAAAACACTGATGGATTCCTGTATTTCGATGTTCTCTGTCGCTTCAAACAGCAAAAACCTCTGAATTTAACCAGGAATGATCCCGTTATAAATCCCATCCGTTTTAAATGTCTGTTGCCATGGATACGCTCATATCAGGTTCTGTTTGAAAATATTAACTTTACAGAAACATGAGTCACATTTGAGAATTTTCGGCATGAAAGATTAATAATTAGGCCTGAAACATTGTTGCAACGGCTAAATATAAACATGCATATTTTTGTCAGATATTCTTAGTCATTTCGTCCTGTTAACGTCCTTCTCAGGAGGTTCGCTGTCTGTCAGCGAATCAGCACACAGGGTCATGAATATTAATTAGATTGTGACTTTCACCCTACCTGATTCGCTGAAAAGCAGACGTTGGAGCAAATAATGGGAAACAAAATATGAATAGTTAATATACTTTTTTATATATACTAACTAATATGCTAATTCATTCTAAACTGAAAATAATAGATATAAATAGTTTAATCAGATTAAAAAGTGGTTATTTTACCCAACATTTTTGTGCAGTATGTATTTTTATGTGTATTATAGGCTACATTTTAAATCTCTCATTTATAAGCACTAATTAAATATGTATATTATTAGTATTTATTTATTTTAGTATATTATTTATATTAGTATGTAAGTATCTTTTAGTAAATTAATATACTAATTCATATAATTGTACTAATTAATACCAATTCATGCTAAACTGAAGTGTATAGATATAAATTCTATAATTATTTTAATTAAATTATTTTACCCAAGATTTATGTGCAGTATGTATTTTATGCTTATTAAACATTTTAAATATCTCATTTAAAACATTATTTTAATTAACTAAAACTAAAACCATAAAAAATGTATTACTTGAAATAGAATAAATGTTAACTGAAATAAAATAAAATAAAATATAACAGACTTAAACGTATTTTATTTCAGCTAGTTTCCGATAATCGGTTTCTCATTTTCATTTAGTTTAACTTGTACTTTGAACAAAAAAACAACAACAACTAAAACTGAAATAAAAATTAATTAAAACAACAAAAATTTATAAAACTGGCAAAGACACACAACAAAATTGCTAAAACTTTAACTAACATTAAAATGAAACCATAAAATATAAAGATAAAATCTAATTAAAAACTTTAACAAAAACTATAATAGTATCTCAATGATACTAAAATAACACTGGTATGTAGTTAGTATATTAATATTCTAATTAATATAATTATACTAATTAGTATAATAGTTCATTCTAAACTGAAAAATATAGATATAAATGGTGTAATCCAATTAAAAACTGATTATTTTACCCATCATTTTTGTGCAGTATGAAATTTTATGCTTTTTGTGTTTTTTATGTATTTTAAAACTTACATTTATAATGATTTGTTTCACTTAGGATGTTGCTTTAGAATGTAAATAACTAATTTAATAAGTATATATATATATATATATATATATTATTTTGTATATTTTTATATTAGTATACTATAAGTATCTTTTCGTATATAAGTATTATATTATTATACTAATTAATTAACTAGTTGATTCTAAACTAAAAAAAATATAGTTATAAATAGTTTAATACATAGTACTTTAGTTTGAAATATTAATAGTTTAATATTTCAGTTAGGATTTAACACTTGTACTAATCAATAAAAATATCATTAGTATATATTTATTTTAGTGTATTATTTATATTAGTATACATATATTTTAGTATACATTTTGTGTATTCATATACTAATTCATTCTAGACTGAAATGTATAAATTTTAATTGTTTAATGCAATTAAATATTGATTATTTCACCCAACATTTTTGTGCAATATATATTTAATGCTTATACATTTTAAATCTATATATATCTATATATTTTAAATCCTCTAAGGATCTATTGGATGTTGCCTATGTAAATTCATTAATTTCAAATGCTAATGAATACAAATAAATAACAAATTTATATAAGTACATTTTAGTTTATAAGTATTAGTATATTAATATGCTAATTAATATACTCTATACTGATAATTAAATAGCTTGATTCAATAAAAAATTAATTTAAACAACGTTTTTGTGCAGTATGTACTTTTATACATTGCAAATCTATCATATACAGTATAAGGATCTGTTTCTGTTAGGGTGTCGCCTTAGAAGAGCAGACAGCGAGGAAGTGCACTTGTTTTTGGAACAGAGTCTCTGAGTTTTCTTATTCTGTGCAAAGAAAACAAAACCTCCATAACATTCTGCACCGTTTCATTACCATAGCAACAATAACTCACGAGATGCGGTCCGACGCTGCAGTGGAGCCGGGTTATTTATATCTCTCCACGGCCGAACTGGAGATCAGGTTACTGGATGATAATGCGCAGGCGGACGTTAGCGTGACAGGTGATTGATCAGGCACATTGAGCCCAGAGGGGCCAGCGATGGCCATAGATGAGGATGATCATCGGGCTGTTTAGCTGGCGGTTCTAGCATGACACCTTGCTGTCACGCAGATTAGTGACTCTATTTTCTCAGTACGATCTCAGAGACAGGCAGAGGACAGGCGAACGCCCACACGAGACACAGCAGACACACGAGAGACGCTGATATTTGTGTAGTAGGCTATTGATTGTAGATTTGGAGGAACAATCGGGTTATAAATGCGGGAATGGTCTGCGTCGGCAGGATTATATTGTGCCCGAGCGACAGTCATTGTCCGATAGTCTGTAAACGCTGGAGACGAGGTGCTTATTTTTGTATTTGAAATGGCTGTTAAAATAATCATGTAACTTTTCTTTAACCCTGTAAAGCCTGACATATGAAATAATCACATCTTTTTTTAAATGGAAGAGTTTATTGAAACTTTAGACAAAATATAAAAACACATCTTAGAAAACGGTTGCATATGCGTTTTTTTGTTGAGCATCATATATATATATAGTGAGAATATGATGGAAAAACAGCTCAGTTGTATTAAGAGACTAATATATATGTATATATGCAATTTGGTGCAGATGCTGATATTTTTATGGACAAAAAGTGATGAAATTCTGATGCTTGTAATGTAAATCAATGAGATCTTTATAACAGTAGAGCAGATATGACATAAAATTATATAAATATCAGTCATCACTCTATATCTCCAATAATATGTCTTAGTAAGATGAGATTGAAATGATCCATACATATAATGCAATGCAATCCAGTGCTGATTGAGAGATGAAAAGTGTTCCTCAAAAGCCTGATGATCATATTTTATACTCATGTTTGAACATGATTTTTCCTAAATAAATAAATGATAATGATGATGATGATTTACTCAACTGAAGTCAAGGTTATTATTGCTAACTAAAACTAAAAACATAAAAAATGTCATTAATTGAAATAAATTAAATGTTAACTGAAATAAAATAAAATATTCAAAAAGTATACTAAACTGAAACTTAACAAAAACAATGTAGACATATTAAAAGTGCAAAACACTCGTCAAAATAGCTAAAACTTAAATTAACTAAAATTAAAATTAAAAGAGAAAATATAAAAATAAAATCTAATTCTTAATATTAACTAAATGAACTAAAACTAAAAACTTAATAAAAACAATCTAGACAATAAATAAAACCAAAAAATGACAAAAACAACAAAACTTTAACTAAAATTAATATGAAAACAGAACCTATATAAAAAAAAATCTAATTCAAAATATTAACTAAATGAACTAAAACTAAAAAGTTAATAAAATAACAATATTAGTTTTTCTGACGTTTACTTGATCAAAATCAGTCAAGATTTGACAGCAGAAAGACACATGAAGCGTTTGTACAATTACACTAAAAGAGTTTTTACTTGATAAAAAAAACCCTCTAAACTATCATTCAGACTTGAACAACAGGATTATCAGCAAAATTGTGATCATGTTAATCATTTAGATCATTAAAAAAATTGCATATCAAATATGATACCATAGCTTTATAGGGTTAAAACTGTTTATATTTTAAGGCAGTCACATAAAACGGTTGATTGGTTGGTCAGACTAGTTCAGACAAGCCCAAACCAGCACAAAACCCTCTGAAAATGTCTGTCTGAACAGGCCTGAAAACCACCTTAGGATGCAGGACGGTGAAAGCAGATGCAATCCTGTTCTTTCGTTCTTCGTTTAACTCGACAGGACAATTGCCGAATTTCAGCAGTGTGGTAATTGTAGTCTTTAAAACCCTTTTGACTCCCCTTTCGCGACAGCAAGGTGGTTGGTGTTATTTCGGTGTCTGTTTGCTCTGGAGCGATCCCCCCTGCATTTGCTCTGACACATGTCATCCAGCCTGCGCCGTGCCGTCCTAGAAAAGAGGGCCGCGGTTAATTACCTCCGGAGCTCTGCAAAGAACAAGTTTAATTAATGTAAACTGCTGGTGAGGATGAGTCACGGGGGACGCTCGTCCCCGAGTGGCTTCCCTTCAGCCGCGAGTGCTGTTTAGGGAGCGCTGATCTCCAGCTTGAGTTTAATATGAAGTCTGTTTGCAATCGCAGTGCTAATTTACTCCACGAGACGAGTTGTTACTTTAGGTGCAAAAGAGAGAAAGAGAGCGAGAATATTCGGAGGTGAAATCAACTCTGTTGCATGCATAGTGTTCAACTGTCATGAACTTAATACACAATCGTCTCAACTGTTGAAAGAAATGAATGCTTTTATTTCGCAAGGACAATTTAAATTGATCAAAAGTGACACTGAAGACATTTATAATGTTACAAAAGATTTCTATTTCAAATAAATGCCGTTCTTTTGAACTTTCTGTTCTTCAAAGAATCCTGAAAAATAAAATGCATGAAAATGCAATAATCAGAAATGTTTCCTGAGCAGCAAAAATTATACTGATTTCTGAAAGATCATGTGACACTGAAGACTGGAGTAATGATGCTGAAAATACAGCTTTGATCACAGAAATAAATTATATTTTAACAGATATTCACATAGAAAACAGCTATTTTGAATAGTAATAATATTTTACTATTTTTATTCTATTTCATTAATTTATTCTATTAATGAAAATTAGAAATTGTATCTTTGCAATTAACTATTAAAATACATGTTTATATTATTTTTTTTTTTTTATATCAGTTTTCTTTATTGTGTTATTTTGAATAGTAATAATATTTTACAATTTTAAAATTTTTATTCTATTTTTAATCAAATAAATGCAGCCTTGGTGACTTCTTTCAAAAACATTTTTAAAAATCTTATCGACCTCAAAGTTTTGAATGATAGTAATAATCAAAATATAACACGTTACAGGATTCAGCTGGGTTGTGAATGCAATTTTGCAGTTTAAAAGTCCTGAAATGATGCCTATTGTCTTCTCTACTGAAATGTGATGCATGCACCTTTTTTTATCTTAATTGTGTAACAGGGCAGATCTCAGTGGAGGGCTTCGCCAGGTATCTGATCAGTGAGGAGAACAGCGTCATTCCTCCAGAAAAACTGGACCAGAGTGAAGACATGACCTTCCCTCTCTCTCAGTACTTCATCAACTCGTCCCACAACACCTACCTCACAGGTACCTCAACACACACACACACACACACACACAAAAAAAACCTTTTAAGCTTTTCCCAATTAATAACACTCCCATAATCAAAAGCACAGAATTTCTAAAACACAACAGTTTACTTTTAAGGTTAAAAAAACTTTAACCCTCAACAACTTACCATAAGGTTTCAATAATTCCCCAACAAAAACAATTCACAAAAATAAATGTCCAGGTCTTCAAGTATTCAAGTTTTCATGTTTTCAAGTCCCTGTTCGGGGGCCAGTCTGTAACGTTGGTGGCCGCCCTAGCATAGATAAGCTCTATTAAAGAAAATGTTCTGGCGCCAGTCAGGTTTAATCCTGACAAAATTTAAATTAACCCAGGATAGCAAAAAGAAGACACCACCTGTTACAATATTAAATCACAAAGACAGTCAAAAGAAACACTGTTCAAAGGGAAGCACACACACACACACACACACACACACACACTCCTGTCTGAATGCAAATACACAATTTATTAGATAATTCATTATAATAATACATTTGATTTTTTATAGCACCTGCTTAAATGGCTTCGCTGATAGATAGATAGATAGATAGATAGATAGATAGATAGATAGATTTTTTAATGGCAAAATAGCCCTTAGATTTCCCTAAAATATCTCTTAAGTTTCTTAAGATGCATAAAGTTGCAAAATCTCAAAGTAGACTGAAGTCCTAAAGCTGAAATGATCTGCTAAACAAAGTTCGAATGTAGCCTTTATTTTAATCAGTTTGCATAAAGCTGCTAAGAAGAAGAAGAATATGGTGTTAGAGGAGTTATCAGGCAATTATCAGGAGAGGGAGCTGAGAACATGCTAGACGCAAAAACAAAGAGGAAATGAATAATGAATGTAATTATGGTCAATGTACTGCTAATGTACCAATCTAACACACAGTGCTGCTAAAGTACACACTTAACCGCTACACGCAACAACTGGTGTTCTTAAAGGAACAGCACACCCAAAAATGAATCTTCTGTCTTCGTTATTTTCAGCTTTATGACATTCAAGCCAATACGATGTTGCTGTTTTTTTGTTTGTTTATAAAATGCATAAGAAGAATTGTGTCAAGCTCAAAAAAGGGACAAAAAACATGAAAGTATCATAATGCAGTCCATACTATCGAAGATTGTTTCTGCCTTGGAATAAAAATAGAAAAGGTGATTATGACTTTTTATCTCACAATTCTGACTTTTCTCGCAATTTTTACTCTTTTTTTTTCTCAGAATTCTGAGTTTAAATCTTGCAAATTTTACTTTTTTTCTCTAAATTCTTAGTTTAAATATCACAAATTTTACTTTTTTCTCTAAAATAATAGCAATTCTCAGTTTTTTTGGAATTCTGTTTTTTGTTTGTTTATAAAATGCATAAGAAGAATTGTGTCAAGCTCAAAAAAGGGACAAAAAACATGAAAGTATCATAATGCAGTCCATACTATCGAAGATTGTTTCTGCCTTGGAATAAAAATAGAAAAGGTGATTATGACTTTTTATCTCACAATTCTGACTTTTCTCGCAAATTTTACTTTTTTTCTCTAAATTCTTAGTTTAAATATCACAAATGTAACTTTTTTTCTCTAAAATAATAGCAATTCTCAGTTTTTTTGGAATTCTGACTTTTTTTTTTTTTGCCACAGAATAAAAAAGGTATCTGCGACTTTTTTCTTCTGAGTTTATATCGCACAATTCAGACTTTTCTTCTCAGAATTACAAATAATTTAAATGTGCAATTCTGAGTTTATAAAATCAGAATTGTGAGATAAAAAGTCACAATTACATTTTTTATTTTGTTTGATCCCATGGTGGAAACAAGCTTTCAACTCAAGTAAAGTATTTGTGTGAGTGCATGTTAGTTTGTGCATGCAGTCAGCGTTTGTGTGTGTGTGTGTGTGTGTGTGTTGTCAGCGGGGCAGCTCGCGGGGAACTCCTCTGTTGAGATGTACCGGCAGACGCTGCTGTCTGGCTGTCGCTGTGTGGAGCTGGACTGCTGGAAGGGCCGGACGGCGGAGGAGGAACCCGTCATCACACACGGCTTCACCATGACCTCAGAAATCTCCTTCAAGGTGACCCACCACACGCTCACCAGAGTTAGGTTACCATTGAGTTCTCACACAGCCTTTCATCAGTGCACACTGTTAAGTAGTGCTTAACTTGGAGCTATTTTCTGCTTTTGGAGATGTTTCTATAAAAAATAATTGGTGCACTGAGTCATTTTCTCACTGCCTGATACACAGTCCCATACAAAAACTGTCTGCAGTTTACAGTCCCGTGAATGCTTGTTTAATTTTTTAATAATTATTTGATTTGATTTGATTTGATTTAATTATATTATGATTTCAGATTCCAAGAGTTTTGTATATTTATTGTCATTTTTAGATTTTATTCTTTATTTTATTCTATGTTTTGTTTAATTTCAGATTCTAAAAAGAGTTTAGTACATTTTATTTCTTACCATATTTAAATCTAAACCACCAAAGATATTATTTTATTTTGTTGTGTTTCTTTTCTTTTTTTTTCATTTTATCTTACTTTTTCATTTTTTTATTATTTTTATTTGATTTCATCTTACTTTTTCATTTTTACTTTATTTTATTTTATTTTATTATTTTCAGATTCCACAAAGAGTTCAGTACATTTTATTTATTCCTATATTTAAATCTATTCTGCAGAATTCTACCTAATTTGTTATTATTTTATTATTATTATTTCATTATTTTTTTTATTTAGTTTAATTTATATAATAAAACAAAGCCTAATTAAAGTACATTGTATTCAGTAACAAGTTAAATAGAAAATACAATAATAAAAATCAGCTATGCATATGCATTTAGTATTATAACTGCATTAAAAAGAGAAATAAACAATATAAATGGAGCTATTCCACAATGACATATCAAAATATTTCTTGTTAGATAAATTACTCAGACAAACTAAATTCATTTCAATCTGTTCTTGTTTTCCAGGAAGTGATCGAAGCCATAGCAGAGTGCGCTTTTAAGACGTCTCCGTTCCCGGTCATCCTGTCCTTTGAGAATCATGTGGACTCGTAAGTGTAGACGCTGCTGGTTTTCTTCCCGTAGCGCCGCGGCTCCTCGGGGCCGACTGCAACTATGGCAACAAAGAGTGGAGCGATTAGAAGTGTCTCTGAAATGCATAATTTGTTTTCAGTCATCATTGTTGTCTAGTGAGATGTCACACGCGCTGGCTCGCTTCGTTTTCTGCATCAAATCAGAGATGACATGATGTGCGTGCAGTCGGGGAATTTCACTTCAGTCACATCACAGCTGCAGATGTAGTTTCCCAGAATGACATGCATGTGAACATTGCCAGGTGCTAATTTTGGAATTTTATTTTAATACTTTTATTTGAATAATTATTTGATTTATTTATTTAATTCTTTAATTTTATTTAATTCTATTGTATATTGTATTTTATCTTATTTTATTTCATTATGCTTTCAGCTTATTTTATTTATTACCATATTACATATTTTACCATATTTAGAAGATTTCCCCCTAAATCAATTTAATTTTTTATTCTATATTTTATTCTTTATTTTATTAAATTTTTTTCATTATGCTTTTCAGCTTCAAATTAGAGTTTAGTACATTTTGTTTATTGCCATATTTAAATTAAGATGCTATTTTATTCCATATTTTATTTTTTATTTTAGATTATTTTAACCAATATTTTTTATTATTTATTTTATTTTATTATTTTATTTATACATTTTTATTTCATTATGCATTCAACTTCTAATAAGAGTTTAGGATATTTTATTTATTGCCATATTTAAATCAATTCGGCAGAATTCTACAAAACTTCTCCCTAAATCAATATCAAATTAATTTTAGGTTATTGTTCTATTTTTTATATTTGTCACTATTATGGACTTGAGATTTGTCTTTTGTGTTTCCTTTTCCTGTTTGCCCTTCCTGTTCCTGTCCTAGTTTAGTTCATTAGGTCATTATCTTCTTCAGTTCTTTATCAGTTCCTGCACCTGTGTTGCCCTCATTAGTTGCCTCATTTAAGCTCACTCCTTTGTTCAGTGCTCGGTCGGTTATTGTTTGTTACTGCTGTTGTCACCCAGTCTTCATCATCGTGGATTACTATTAAATATATTATTAAGATTATCTTCGTCTTTGTGTGCCTTGCCTCGACCTAAGCGTGACAGAATAACCGACCCAAAGAAGTGAAAGTGCGCCGCGTGTTTACCCTGTTGTTTCCTTTTTGAAAGTTTTTGTATTTTTTTTGTTATGGAGCTCGCTGCGAGATCCGCCGCTCTTGCTCGGAGGAGCCAGGATATCAAGGATTTCGCGAGGGACTTCAGCTGTTTTGCCGTAAGCACCACCTTCAACGACAAGACGCTGAAGTCCCTGTTCAAGATCGGGGCAAACTGCCACCGCCCCGTCGACCTCCTTGACCCCACGGGACTTAACTGGAGGGAGGCGATCATCCGGTGTCTGGAGAGCATCCTGCCCCGCTCTAGAACGCCGCTTGACCCAGAGCCCAGCCCAACATCACCCCGCTGCGCGGAGCAAGACCCTGAGCCCACCGATGATGGAGAGCCAGAGCCCCACTGGGACCGACGAGCCATCGCCAAGAGGAGCGACAGAGCTGAGGATCGCCCCGGAGCCAGAGCCTGTGACGTCAGACCAGGTGCGAGATCCGGCTACAGAGCTCGCCACGGGGGACATCGCCATGGACAGCCAGAGCGCGGAGGGAAGCTCCATCCACTGCACCATGGCTGAGGGTGAGCCGAGCTCAGTGGACTATGATTCGGATTTATATGCGGACATGCCCGTTTTCCTCCCACCATCATCTGAACTGTCAGTCTGCCCTGAATTATCTGTCTGCCCTGAACTGTCTATCTGCCCTGAACTATCTGCCTGTGGGACAACGACCACGGAGATCGTTCCCCTATCACTGGCGCTACCATTACTAAGCCCCCTGATCATCCTGAACTCCTGCCCAGCCTCCCTCTCCCATCACCTCTGCACCAGTCCTCACCATCGCCTCCGCTGTCTCCTGACAGCCCCTCTGCTCACCCTCAGCCCACCATCGGTGCGGTGGGATCGCCGGGGTCTGCCAGTCTCCATCGGCGTCGTGGCTGGAGGAACCTGCACCTGTGTTGCCCTCATTAGTTGCCTCATTTAAGCTTACTCCTTTGTTCAGTGCTCGGCCGGTTATAGTTTGTTACTGTTGTCACCCAGTCTACATCATCGTGGATTACTATTAATTATATTATTAAGATTATCTTCATCTTCGTGTGCCTTGTCTCGACCTGAGCGTGACAGTATTCAATATTTTATTTCTTATTTAATTTAATTTAATTTAATTATTTTATTTTAATTTATTTTATTTTTTATTATGCTTTCAGCTTCCAATAATTTTATTACCATCTATTCTGCAGTATTCAAAATCTACCCCTAAATCAGTGAAGATTTTATTTTATTATTTTATTTTATTTTGCTTTGTTCCAATATGATTTTTTTTTTTGCTGCATTTTGTTTATTACCATATTTAAATCTATTCAACAGAATTTTCCAAATTTCCCCCCTAAATCAGCAAAGAAATGATAAAACGGTCTGCAGATTTCATCTTGGTCTTGGACTTTATACTGTAATTTACTGTTGTTGATGCAGCAAATGTTGCGAAGCGCTAATTTGTTACTCATTGTTTATGCAAAAATGGATTTCATGTGTTCATGTGTTTCTGTTGAATGGCAGCCCCAAACAGCAAGCCAAAATGGCAGAATATTGCCGATCGATATTCGGGGACGCTCTTTTGACTGAGACTCTGGAGAAATATCCTGTAAGTGTCTCTGTCCCTGATGCATTTGTGCTCTGTTATCAGCCAGCGTTCTCCTGACTGATTCTGCTGTGTTTCAGCTTGAGTCCGGCGTTCCTCTGCCAAGCCCTCATGAGCTCGTGGGAAAGATCCTCATCAAGAACAAGAAATCTCACCCCAAACCCTCAGACGGCAGCACTAAGAAGAAGCTGTCCGAGCAGGCGTCCAACACCAACAGCGACTCGTCCAGCGTCTTTGAGCCGTCGTCTCCCAGCGCTGGACCCGCAGGTATTACACCCTCAAATCTGCATGACTGAGTCAGACAGTGCTAAATTAAACAAGATTTAATTAATTAATTTAAGTGTTTATTATTTTAAATATTTAATTAAATAATTAATTTAAAAAATAATAATTTGTAATAAAAAATAAAAAAAATCATTTAAATATTAATTTACATGACTGACGGTGAAATTTGAAAATATACAAACCGTAGTGCTGCTGTTATTAGCATTTTGTGTAAATTTGAAAATTGTAAATATATAGTATAATAAATTAAAATTAAAATTGTTTAATTGTAAATAAAATATAAATGTGTATAAATTTGTTGTAAAGTTGTAAATATTAAATATAATATAATAAATTAAAATCAAATTTGTAAATTGTATATAATATAATACAATATAATATAATTCCTCGATCCTATAGGATAAGCGGAGAATGGATGGAATAATTTGGAGAATGGATGGATGCATAATATGTTCTAAAATAATAATAAAAAATCATTAAAATTACATTTCTAAGTTGTAGATCTAATGTAGAGTTTATAATTTATTGTAATTATACAATATACTGTAATGTTCTGTTATAATTATTTAATAATATTATAATTTGTAAATATGCAATGTATAACAAATTAAAATTACATTTGTATTTGTAAATAGTAAATATAATATAATATATAATATATTGCAATTAAATTTGTAAATTGTAAATAAAATACAATTTAAATTTGTAGGTGTTTCTAAATTGTATATTTTGATGCCTAGATTTTTTAAATATATAAAAACGATAATAAATTATATAATTTATAATTTAGGTGTTCAGTTTTGATTAGTTTTTGTTGCAGAAAAATACTATAAAAATTATATAATTTATATTTTAAAAATATATGTTCCACGTTGTTGGCCATTTTTGACAGAAAATATGATAATGTATAATTTAAAATGTAAAAAATACATTCTAATACATTTTATGAATTAAAGTATATATAAAAATAATAATGTTTTATTTCAGTGAGATGCCAAGTCAAGATTTCTAATTCCTCATTTTTTCTAATGTCTATATTTTTTTTCCTAATTTCTAGTAAATGTTTAATTTTTTTAAGTTTGTAATTTAATATTTTATTTTATTTTAATAGTTTTAGTCAGCAGTAGCAACACTAGGAGATAAATCAGCCAAATTGATTAAGTAGATTTTTTTTAATTTTTTTTTTAAGTATATTAAAATACAATTATAAAATAAAGAAAAAAATCGTTGTCTATGGAAGAAAGTCTTTCTGAAAAATGTAACCTTTTTAATGTTTTGTCAGCTGATATTGTGGTGATGGCGGCACCCCGGTTGGGAAACACTGTGCTAGACGGACAACTTAAATGCTTTGGGAGTAAAAATACAGACAACCAAGAACACTTTTTGCCATTGATATCTGACATTTGTTGGCAAGCGGCTGCCGGATTCCACGGTACATTCAAATCTTTCAAAAGTAGCAGGAAAATCTGTGATGAGTCAGCTATTATGGGGTCTGTGCTCACGTCTGTCTTTAGCAAGTGGAAAGAGCGAGCGAGCGAGTGACTGCGGAGCAGAAGCAGACGCCGAGGTTGAGGAGTCGAGCGGATGACATTTGAGCGTGTGTTTGTGTGGATGCGAGGGCTCTGAAAGGTTGAGTCCAGACAGCACTGAGGCAGAAAGCAGATGTTGAACAGCTGCAGGACTGTGTGGAGTCACCTGTAACAGCCATTTCACATCATTCAGGAGAGCGCAGCCAGCAGGACATTAATGCAAGTGCTGACAATCAAATAAATATTGTATATTTGATGAATAGATTGATAATATGTAAATAGTTAAAAAATATTATATTTAGGCACAAATGAAATAGATCGCCTAAAAAATACAGTTATTTAATTTGTTGATCATTAATGATAAATAAATAATGTATGTTTATGCACAAATGAAATAGATCATACAAAAATGACAATTCTATGTAATTTATTTATTGATATTTATTTAATGATAGATAAATACATCACCCCTTCATGTGCATGACAATTATTTACTTTATTTATTGCTATTTAATGATAAATAAATAAATAATTGCGTTACATAATCAGCCAAAAATTACAGTTGTCTAATTTATTTATTGCTATTTATTTGAGGATAAATAAATAATTTGCTTGTGCAACAAATTAAACAGCTCACCCAAAAAAATTATAATAATAATTTAGATTTATGCACAAATCACCCATAAATGTACATTTTTTTTAAATTATTTATTTAATAATACATAAATAATGAAATAAATAATTGACATTTTTGCACAAATGAACTGGATTAGCCCATGAATGAAAGTGGGGTGTTTTTGGAGACTGATTGTTGGCGGTTGTTGTTTGGAAATGACGTGTGTGAAATAAATAACTCGAGGATGAGTAAATGATGAGAGCGTTTTCATTAGTGTGTCTCTTGAGTTCAGTCTTAACCCTCAGTGTCTGAGCTCTGGTTCTTCTCTCACACCACACCAGCTCTGCCTTTCTTCAGCGCGTCCAAACCGCTGTTTAAGAGAAACTCAGCATTTGATTTGACTGAAGTTTGATTTGATTCTGTTCTTCAGCTTTAGTGCCTGCAGAGGTGGAGGCTGAGGATGATGAGGATGAAGATGATGATGATGATGACTGTAAGAAGTCCATGGACGAGGTCAGGAAGAGATGATGCTTTTATATTGTAGTATTGATTCATATTTTCATCAGTTTTCATTTTAGTGGAAATTTGAGTAACTTTGTTATGTGCTTTTGTCATTTTAAGTTTTTCTTTTTTCTTTTTAATTTCCATGTAGCTTTTTTTTATTTTAGTTTTAGTTATTTTAGTACTTTTTAATCAATATAAATAACCTATTTTATTTCAGTTATTTCAACATTTCGAATTTGTAATAAGCTGTTTATATAGCTATATACCTTTTAATCTGTTTTATCTCAGTTTTAGTTATAGTCATTTTAGCACTTCAGCTTAAACTTATTTATTTCTGTTAGTTGCCAAGGCAACATTTCTAAATTCTATTTTTGTAGGTTTTTTATTTAATATTTCTATATAGCTTTAATTTATTTTTATTTCATTTGTAACTGTTTCTAATTTCTACTTGTTTTTTATTTCTGTGTTTTTTTTTGTTTTTTTTCTTATTTCTAATTAATTTATATTTTTTTAAGTTTAGGTTTTTTGTCTAATATTTATAGTTAATAGTTTTACTTTTAGTCTCATTTTGAAACGGATTGATTGGTCATTTTGAGGTCATGCGCAGAAGTTAATTACTCTGCTTGTAAATACAATGTTTTAACTCTTGTGTACGTTTTCACCAATGGAGTGCAAAATAAGGCTTGAAACTCTTAAAATATACAATTTTCTCAACAAATTGTGAAATGAGGTGCTCAGCCTTCAGAAAATGATGTCCATGAGCTCAAACACTGATGTTTTTGTGATTTTGATTCAGGGTACAGCAGGATCTGAAGCCTTTGCCACTGAAGAAATGTCCACGCTGGTCAACTACATCCAGCCCACCAAGTTCCACTCGTTTGAGATTTCCAAGAGTAAGTGTGACTGCATACACATGATGGAGTCTTGGCTGATATGAAGATCTCATTAAAAGTAGATTTGTCTGCTCTCAGAAAGCAAACGCAGTTATCAGATGTCGTCGTTCGTGGAGACCAAAGCACTGGAGCATCTCACCAAGACGCCGGTGGAGTTCGTCGAGCATCCTTTCAAACACAGCCCGCATTTCTGACGGCAAACCAGGACAAGAACATCTATTATTTATGCCAGAACTTATGAATCTGTCAGGAAGATTTCAGAACAGTAGTCCATCTCACTCATGCCCGGTTTGCAAGTCTTCAAAAGCCATTTAATATGTTTGTGTGAAGAACGGACTGAAATTTAAGTTGTTATTCACTAAAATTATGCTCTAATTCACACATGTATATATTTAGATGTGATACCTTAAGATGTATGCATTTGACATAAATGACACCGAACTGCATTTGTTTTATTAATCGTCGATTTTTATAGCATTTTTTTGACAGTCAAGTACATTTGCACAGTGTTTATACAAAAATATTTTATATTTTTATTTTAATATAATCGAAATGTATACGTATATGTATATTTTGATGCCTAGATTTTTTAAATATATAAAAACGGTAATAAATTATATAATTTATAATTTAGGTGTTCAGTTTTGATTCGTTTTTGTTGCAGAAAAATACTATAAAAATGATATAATTTATATTTTAAAAATATATGTTCCACGTTGTTTTTGGACATTTTTGACAGAAAATATGATAATGTATAATTTAAAATGTAAAAATACATTCTAATACATTTTATAAATTAAAGTATATGTAAAAATAATAATGTTTAAAAAGTTAAAAAAAAATGTTCCAGAAAAAAAAACTACACAAATAATATAATTTATCATTTAAATTTTAAAATTCCATTTTGATGCCCAAATCATTTTTTGTTGCAGAAAAACACAAAATATGGTAATTTAAAAAAAATTAAAATACATACTCAATACATTATATAAATTAAATAAAGTATATATAAAAATAATAATGTTTTATTTCAGTGAGATGCCAAGTCAAGATTTCTAATTCCTCATTTTTTCTAATGTCTATATTTTTTTCCCTAATTTCTAGTAAAAAAAAAATTTTTTATATATTTTATTTTATTTTAATAGTTTTAGTTTTAGTCAGCAGTAGCAACACTAGGAGATAAATCAGCCAAATTAAGTAGATTTTTTTTTTTTTTTTTGAAAAGCATATTAAAATACAATTATAAAATAAAGAAATAAATCATTGTATATGAAAAAAGTCTTTCTGAAAAATGTAACCTCTTTAATGTTTTGTCAGGTGATGTTGTGATGATCACACATGTCTGTCCTGGTTGTGATGGAGGTGGATGATTTATTGATTTATTGATTTATCGGTGTAATTCGTTATGACGCTCCCTTAACCGTGTGCATGTAGATACAACAAGTTTCAGCTGAGCAGGATTTATCCTAAAGGAACGCGCGTGGATTCCTCCAACTACATGCCGCAGGTCTTCTGGAACGCCGGCTGTCAGCTCATAGCACTCAACTTTCAGACCATCGGTGAGATGATGAATAATGAACACGCTCTGGGAGAGGCTTATGACAAATATGCTGTAATATGAAATGTCCACAGAAATCAGACTTTATAGCTGTTGATTTTCTCTCATCTCTCTCAGATCTGTCCATGCAGCTGAACCTCGGCATGTACGAGTACAACGGCAAGAGCGGCTACAGACTCAAACCAGAGTTCATGAGACGACCGGACAAGCACTTCGACCCCTTCACAGAAAGCACTGTGGACGGCATCGTAGCCAACACCTTATCAGTGAAGGTTAGACGTATCATACAGCTCGACATTTCTCACTTGTCAAAGCCTTTAGCTCCAGGAAGCTCATTTGCAATGTGTTATTGCAAAGCAATCAGTAATACTTCCTCAAAAGCAGCTTTCAAAACATTAATAGCTTTTATGGCACGTGAGACTGTTGCCAAAACCTTTAGCAGCAGGAAACTCATTTGCAATGCATTATTGCAGTGCAATCAGTGATTTGATGTATTTCCACAAGTTTTTTGTTGTTGTTGTATTTAGTGTCGATTTATGTTCAGTTTTGATGCCTAAATTAGTTTTTGTTCAAGGAAAATACTATAAAATTGTCATTTTTAATTGAAATTTAGGTTTAATTTTGATTTTGTCAAATTAGCTTTTGTTCCAGACAAATACCATAAAAGCTATATTATTATAATTTACATTATATGTTCAATTTTGATACCCAAATTAGTTTTTGTTCCAGAAAAATACTATAATTGTATAATTTAAAGTTGTTCAGTTTTAATGCCCAAATTGTTCCAGAAAAATAACATAAAAATATTACCTTGTTCAATTTTGATGCTCAAAATTAGTTTTTGGTCCAGAAAAAAATACTATAAAATTATATAATTTTTTATTTAAAATTATGTTCAATTTTGATGGCCAAATTAGTTTTTGTTCCGGAAAAAATCCAATAAAATGATATAATTTATAATTGGAATTGAACATCAAACCAAAACAAAACAAAGAAAAAAACATCAACATCAACCGTGGTTTTACTAGTAAATGTATAGTATCAAAAAAAGTAGTAAACATTACTTTTTTGAAAACAACCACCTCATTTCAATTTGTTAGCACAGAATGTTATTTATCTTAAAATTACTTAAATGCCCTATTTAACAAAAAAAAATTTTTTTTTTTAAATTAAAACACATTTTCTAAAGTGCCTAAATGTCAAAATTAGTACAATAGCCTATATTTACTGACAACTCTTAATACTGAACATACTATTGCATTATTAGGTTGTGACTCTGCTGTCTGCTCTAGCTCCCTCCCTACCTGTACAATAAATCCATGTGAATATCTGTCTCTGCTAAAATTTTTAATGTAACTTTACAATCGATAATGATGTACTTTAGCCCAGTATTCTGACTGATCATCTGACTGAATAGATACTAGCAGTTTAATACTCAACTACGTTAATAAAGACAAAATCATCTAGCATATACTGTATACAGATGAAACTGACCTGCACTTGAAGCCCTGAACTGGTCAGTGATGTTGCTACATTTCACTGCTTCTTATGGCCGCTTCCTCTCTTTCATCGAGTCCCGCGTATCGATTCTGTTTGGAATCGTTTGACGGAAGCGCAGAACAGACATGAGCCAAAAACAGGGCAGCGGGCCAAATCAGCCGCCAGGCCACCGGGAATTCTCCCGGTGCTCCCGATGGCCAGTCCGGGCCTGCTCCTCCGCCTCCTTCATCAACTCTAACAGCTGACGACTTTGCAACGTTCTTCATTAATAAAATTAAAACCATCAGTGCACAGTTTTCCACACCACAAACTGTCAAGCACATCTTACCAGCAAACATACACTCGTTCACATCCTTTTCTCCACTCTCTGAGGCAGAAGTGAGAAAAACTACAAGGAGGAAAAGATACTTTTTATCGCGTCGTGTCTGGTTGGGACAAACGGTGTTACAGTTTGATCCCCCTAAAAAAATCTAAGCATAAAAATATTAATACTGACAAATCTAATAATTTAATCTGCAATTAGGGAAAGTGGAGAGAAGAGATCCAGTCTGGAGATGAGCAGGAACAGTTGACTTGAATGGCAGACATGGAGATCCAGATTTTTTTTGTTCATTTGTTTTTAATATTCAACTGGCAAAGTTCTTCTGTATCTAAATGCAAAAATGTTCATAATTGTTTGAATAAAACAGACTTCTGGGGAAAAAATCTGAATATTTATCTTGTGACCATCTTTTGATTAGTTTAACAAAATAATAATTGTAATAATAATAATAATAATTTGGCCCTTGGCTTGGTATTGTTGGCAGAATTCGGCCCTCAGTAAAAACTAATTGAGGAACCCTGGCCTAGGCTGATGGTCCGCAGAAGCCAGCGAGACGGGCTGGGTAGCGCTAGCCAGGCAC